GACGAGGCATTTGAGTCCTGCAGGATTTCCCCGTTAATATCAGTGTCTCGAAAACACATGTTGGCGACTGAAAGACATCCAGTGTTTGGTCTTTTCCGGAAGCATCCTACAGTGTCTCAACCATAGATTGGTCTCAACTGAAAGAGGACCACAAACACACACATAATACAATTTTGAGATTTGGGGATATTTATCTCCCATTCTTTCACTTTTTCTGACATTTTCAACACCAAACATGTCGTTAATGTGTTTAGTGAACTACAGCAATCTGAAAGCCTTTACATTATTTATATCACACTTTATCAGTAGAAAAATGCAGGAAATTACTTTTTTAATGCAGTATTTTCTGATTTATGGCGCAACACAAAGATATTTCGCTCTGTGCAAACCTTTGACTAATATGTCAACAACATGAAACAAGAATATGAACCTAGCTTTATCCAATGTTCACACAAGAGTTCTACATCCTGACACATCCTTCATCTACACTGTCTCAACTGAAAGAGGACCAGAAACACATTAAAAATATAATAAAATGTGGAGACTTTGGGATATTTATCTCCCATTCTTTTACTTTTCGGACATTTGACAGACCAGACATGTCGTTGATGTCACTGTTTACCAAACTACCACTTTTTCTGAAAAATGCATAAAATGATGCAATTATGTTAAATACATGGTTTATACATGTAAATTACTGGGGTTCCATTTCTTCTGATTACCTAATTTGGGCGTGCACATTTGCCGGGCACAAACCTACCTCTTTTGGATTTGGAAAGTTTGGCATGTATGCAGCCAGAAGCTAAGCAGGGGATGAAGAGAGAAAAGATCATAAAATAAAAAACATAAAGGACAGTTTTCTCCCTGTGTGTAATGTTCATGCTGCTGACCTCTTGTGGCTGAATGGTGAAGGAAGCGGTCCGCAAGTTCACTTTCTGGATGGCATCCAGCCAGGGGATGAACCAGAAGAGACAAAGATATTTCATTTTCTATGAAAGCTTCAAGCCATTAGCTCCAACAGGGTTTGCTGACAGTGAGCTTGTCAAGTTGCCTAGCAACCCCGTTTCCCTCCAAACTTTATTGAGAAAAATCTTACAAACAAAACATTGCTTGAGTTGTAATCTATATATAAATAGAAAAATAGCATATAATAATAATTTAGAATTAAAAAAAATGAACACAAAATATGTAAATAAAAGAAGAATAAAACAGAATAAATATATTTGTATACAGTGAACATAAGAATTACCAGTATCAACAAAAATGTGCTAATTTGACTACATATATTTAACAACATTCAATATGTAAACTTGTGTAAATTACACTATATACAGAGTTTGATTCGTATAATTAGAAGATAATAAAGCTGAAGCTCATTATTGCTCAACAAGTACAGTGTAAGTTAATATAGTTTCACCCCTCGCTCTATACCCACATGCTCTCTGTCTTTCAGATACACATCACACTTCCTGTGAAACTGTCAGGCCACTACTTCTGTCTTTTCAACTCCCACGAGTCACTCTGCTAAACACCTCCATGTGTGAAGCTCTCTCTTTCTCTTTCATTCACCTTTACCTCTGCGGGTCTGCTTCTATGGCCCCTGTAATAAGTCTAAGGGGCTGTTTTTGGAAATGAATCTGTTTGGCGTGTTTGTGGATGTCTGACAGTTTCTCCTCACCATGGCAGCAGCTGTGCCGGTGAGTTATCACGGCGCCATCACCAAAGCCGAATGTGAGGCAATGCTGGGGAAGAAGAACAAGAACGGAGCATACCTGATCCGAGAAAGCGAGACCATCCAGGGGGCGATGTGTCTCTGTGTTTAGTGAGTAAACTGCAGTGGAGAAAGTCTCTTAATGGATTTAAGTCATGTAGGTTGGCACATGCAAGGATTTGGCATTTTGGATTTTGGTGCATAACATAAACAAAGTAAGATAAAATTGCAAAAATGAAGAAGCCTGGAAGAAAAATACAATAATAATGTGAAAAATCTATGTTATGTTATTTTACTTGTCTCCTTCTACCTAACTACATTTCAGAGGCAACTGTTATTGTACTGTACTTCCACATCCAAGGACTTTGCTTCGGTGTTCGATGCATAAAATTAACAATTTATGAATGTATTTCAAAAGTCAAGACACATGTATGTGTCTTGACTTTTGAAATACATTCAAAAGTAGAAGTAATAAAATGACTTCAACAGTGTAACATAGATAGATTTTCTTATCTTATTAGATAACGTAAGAAAATCTATGTTACACTGTTGAAGTAATTTTATTTATACCTAATTAAAAGAACAAATACTCGAAGAAGTTTTAAAGAGACTTAATAAAGATAAAGAATGTTAGCAAATAATTCTTGCTACATTAAAAAATAATTAAATGACTGTTGTGTATGCAGTCGATAAGTATATACTGCATATCAAAAATAACTTTATTTAAGTTAAGTTGATTTAAGAAAGAAAGTATATATTTATGTGCATTACTGTACGTGCTAACCTAACATTTATTTTGCTTTTGAGGCTGCATGTTGGTTGGTTTCTGTTCACTACATTTTCCATTTTGCGTCAACAAAATGTTTACACATGACCCAAAATCATTTTCTATGCACCAACAATTGCACCTTTTTATATTTAAATGCGAACATGCAGTAAAAAGCTTCTAAAGGAAAGAACAATACCATTTCCTTTACGTGTTTTTTGCAACTTTTATCAATAATTAATTAATTTAACATTTAACGTTTATCTTCACAGCAAACAGAAGGTGGTGTATACCTACAGAGTGCTTAAGACACACAGTGGACACTATACTCTCATGGTAAACACACACACACGCACACACACATACACATATATTTTAAGTATAGTAAAGAAAAAGATTGGCGCCACAGTCAAGATCCACATCCCTCTTTTGCATGCATAATTATTATTATTTCAATTTTAAGATTTCATTTATTTAATTTACTGTTTAATTAAATAGCATCTCATTTCCTAATGTTGTTTCAAAGCCATTTACAAACAGGAGTTGTAATTTCAAGTACTTCCGTGTCAAATGTTCATATTCTTTGGGTTTGGATACCTATTCTTTGATCAGATATTTAAAACTTTGGATAGTGTTTTATTGAGGTAAAACCTTTCGTTTAATTGTATGCATTGTGTGGTTTAATGTCCAATCTTTTTAATGAGAAAGTTGGTCAAAACAAGTTAATGTCCCACAAAGTCATGGATGGTACACACCCTTCCTTAGTTCTTTATTTATGTATATTTTGACGGCCTACAAAGTACTTAGTACACACCTTCTCATTCAACATTTCTACCACATCAAGCCAAAGATGGATACTTTAAATAATGTAAAATACAGAAAATATTTGGCTTTGTTTACACTTTCTGCATAACTCCATTCATGTCATTTATTTGTTTGGATGTGTTAAGTTTTAATCCAAGATGTAGGACATTATAATAATAAAGAAAAAACATTAAACTAGTAGGTGTGTACAAAGGTTTTAATGGTACTGAGTGTAATTGTTAGATGCAAAGTAGGTCGCGCATTAACACTGAGGAAATGACCACAGTGTTAGACACTTCAAAATGAAACCAAACTAAAATGCCCATATCTAAACTGAGTTATACAAAGACAGAAACGACAGCAGAAACACTTCCTCAGTGTCATTATCCTACATTTAGAAATAATTAATGACTTCACCACAGATCAGGAGTGTTGATAAAAGTTTTGATTCCTAACTGGAAACTCATGCACATGTCACAGGAACTTCTCTGACGTGCAATTAGACAAAAACAAAAATTTCCAGAACTCTGAATGGCCGCCCACACACACAAGATGGAAATAGCGACTGGTTATCAGGCTGATCAAGTTTCAAACTCACAGGGCTATTCAATATTTTTAGGGCTCTTTGATTTTCTTTCTTTTTTTCATTACTTACGATCTAGTTTATTCTTCGTTGTATTATTGTTTTTGGGTGATTCATATATTTTTTTTCAAAGTCATTATTGTATACCCCTTTTCTCATCATTTCCCCCTTCTTACATGATGTATTTTTTCCCCCTTCTTATATGTTGTTGTCAGATTTAGTACTGAAACAGTTAGTTCAACATTGCTTGACAACTCTTATTATCTTGACTCATCCAGTAATATTTCAAGCAAAACTGCCCAAAACATGTGCCTGTTTAATCTGAGGATTTTACATTATGCTCAGATAATGGATATTTAAATGTCTTGTTTGACTTCTTTTTTTTTTTACAAACTGACAAATGTATAGACAAACCTTAGCTTGCTTTAACATGCAATGTTTTTCTCCTCTTGTATTGTGTTTTCCTCCTCCGTTGTTTACTGGATGCTGTTTTCTCCCTTCAGACTGCAGGAGGTATTGAAGAAACACATTTTAAGAATTTGGAAGATCTGATCCGGCACTATAAGAAGAAGAACCAGGGCCTCGCCATGCACCTGCGGCACTCTGTCAAAAGAAAGACGGCCATGTTGATCAAGCAGCCAGCAGAACCACAGAGCATGGCAGAACCACAGAGGATGGCTGAACCTGAGGAACTTGACTATGAGGAACCTGACTATGCAAGTATGTCACATATTTTATATCTTAAAATCGGTTTATGTCCAGAGAGTAAAGCAGACAATGCACAAAACACAACATTTGTATAATAATCAAACTAAGATCTCCTTACAGTGAGTAACATTCAGCTTTTTCATGAGCATATACAAAATAAAACAATATAAAACACTAAAGAAATAACACTGAGGGGATTTCTGCAGAAAATGTGCTCTGATAACCCGAGGACAATTCAAAAAATAATAGTATTCTTCATATAGGTTTAAAAAAACATTTAAAGCACAATTTCCATTAAACATCATCAGCATCTTCGTTTATTTGCTGTATTGATTGACCTGATATTGTCTTTATTTTCCTCTAGATGTTTCTGACTCTGACTACGTTGAGGTCCTGCCTGAATGAACAACTCTGACATTTAGCTTAAACAACACGAGCAGAGTGGAAAATACATTTGGTATCAAAAGCTTACAGACTGGATCAAATTCAGAAATATAAATAAGGTTGGACAAATGCTGAAGGAAAAGGCTCGCCTCCAGTGGATGGACTTTTATGCAATTTGTCTCTTTCATGACACCCAGAGGATGAATTGTTTTTGTGAATTGCAAAAATGTGACTTGGAGTTGAGTGCTATTATAACATGCTAAGCAAAGATGTTAAATATTAGCATGTTGTCAATATTCATAGTTGGCATCTGTGTTGGAAGAAGAACTCAGATAGTTTAAAAATACTGCCCTCAAAATAGTACAAAAGTAAAAGCAGACCTCATCACCCATTTCAGAAGAAATTCATATATATTATTAGCTAAATTATAATTATTGATGGATCACTATCTTCATCATTTAGATGATGCAGCTGGTTAAGGACGAGCCAATTTGAATAACTTAACATACTGTACAGTATCTAAAGGTCAAATTTAGTTTACTTTCTAATAAAAAAAATACAATATTTGTAAGTAAAGTACTTCAAAATAACACTTTTGCAGTATAGTAAATATACTTTAAATCACTTGTTAGCATTTAATTCCTTGTTAATGCCGCTGTACATGTGTAGAATATAACTGTTAATCTGCAGAGACATAACATGATACTTTTTACTCCTGCTGTGAAACACTGGCTGTCAACTCAAGTTTCCATTTGAAAACAATCTGAAATGTGATTGCAAGTGCATTTATCAACATTTGCATCTGAATCATCATGACGCATGTGGAAACATATCCTTTATCTCAAAGTTACCATACTGGGAACTAGTTTCCAGTTCCAAGAATATTGGCCTCTGGGACATTGCATTTACATGAATCCAGCAAAACAGTGTTTGTTTTTTTAGTTACACTGCAGTATTTCTTATGTCATGGCTTTTATTTCTATCATGTTATACAGTAAAGAACATTTTGGCATTTGTTTCCATTCCTACAGACATGTAGAATGACAGGGTGGCTTGTATTTGTTATACATTTACACTTTATAAATACTAATCTATTCAATTTTCTTTTGTACCCGTATAATCTTTGGTGTTTTATGTGCAATTACAGTAAAAATATCCCTCTTGCAGACACAACATACCTGAAACTAATAGACTTTAGAGAACTTCCTCACTTCCCAGAATTATGTTAAGATATGACTTCAGAACCTTTTTTCAGTGTATGCCAGATCAGCATATACTAAAGAGACCAAACCAAACCACTTCTGCATTGTCTGTTGGACAAAAACATCCCTTCACATCCTGTGTGCTTTCACACCTGCAATACCAACTCATGACACATTACATGTTAGACACTTTTATCCAAAGCGACTTACATACTCAATACTGTGGACAATCCCCACAGGAGCAATTTGGGGTTTAGTGTCTTGCCCAGGGGCACAACGACATGTTGACTGCAGTGGGGTTTGAACCTGTGACCCTCTGATCCCAACACCAAGGCTCTATCCACTGCGCCGCACGTTTTAAAGATAGTTTTCATTTTGCATTTACATTGATTTACTGTAAGGATAATTCTAGTAAGAGGTTATTTTTGTAATTATGGGCGATTTCTGCATATTTTAAACAGATGCATGCTTCTGTTTATGTGCAAGAAAGAAAACAGCAAAGATATAAAAAGCAAAACAATTCAGTGGTGGGCTTCAAGAGTACATGCATCGCCTAGTATAACCACATTTTTGCCACACCGACATAAACAGCTTCGACACTCATATGTTCCATAGCAGAGCATCTTTATCTACTCATGAGATTTGTATTTGAAGTTTGATGATTTTGTTTATGGTTGTATGGACTCACTGATAACAGGCCGATATTATTAGCCAATAGCATTTTATGTAGGAAATATGTCAGCTGCTTAATAAGAAGAAATGTAGGTTAATGGCATACCATAACAGCAACACACCCTTTCAGCATGAACCGCTTTATTTACTGTCTCTGTTTAAAAATGGCAAAAATATATTAATATATATATTATTATTTTTTACCACAAATATATATAAATTGCTTGGGAAATCTGGTAAAAAATAAATAATAATAAAACGTTGAATTCTGACTGATCTTACAAGTAAACGGGTGAGGATTTTGTTATATTTCGTTCATGTATTTATTTTCTTACATGATATTATATTTTTATTTCACTCTTTGTATTTTACTTTAAATGCGTCTGGTAGTTGTTACGCCCCCTTACGTTACGTGTCCTCGCCTGTGCCCGCTCAATACATACAAAAGGGGGGAATTTATATTTAGTCAACTTGATTTTTAAAACAAAAATCACATTGCACTTTCAGACGTCATCATATTTAATAGTACAGTATTCAAATAATATGATTGATTCATTTATATCATTCACAAATCATACAAACTTTTATAATGTCGAGTTAACCTTGCCCCCCCCCTTTTTGAAATGGTCCGTCCCTTTCCCGTTCGAAGCTCAGGGCGGGAGGAAGTAGCTTTGTTGCCGGTTGTTGTTGATGTTTATTGGGGAAGAAGAAGTACCACAGGTAGTCTGATATACACAAAAAAGCACATCCATAACTCATGTAATAGTTAGAAATATATATATCCAGCAGTCCAAAATGTTGAACCAGTTTTGTATTAGTGTAATTTTCTATTGTTATAAAGCTCTTAGGTTGGCTGGTTAGCTAACGTTAGTGTTACCGTTAGCATCTTGGAGGTTCAAGATGGAGGTGTAAAACGTCAGTTACTTCTCTTTGAAAGCGAGCTAATGTGTTGTATCACTGTTATAACCCTATAGATAATACTTTTGCTCAACAGGATGGACATGACGACGTGTTTAAAGTCTCTGTTGCTGGCTATCCAGCAGTACAGAGGCGGCAGGACTGCTCAAAATGCAGCGCAGCTACACAAACAAGTGGAGGTGAGCCTGAATTAATTTAAATAATCGGATTTCATTTAACTTTATGACCGACATATAACATCACAAAAATACCAAGGGAGAATGGTTGGCTTTCGGGTGTGTATTGTTTATGTTGTGTTAGAAAAGCCTATTTTCGGTGGTGTAAAGTAGCTCAACACATTTACTCAAGTACTGTACGTTAGTACAATTTTGAAATACTTGTACTTAACTTTACTTGAGTATCTCCATTGTATGCTACTTTATACATCTACTCCTCTACAATTCAGAGGTAAATCGTGAACTTTTACTCCACTACATTTATTTTTCTACCTTTAGTTACTTTTCAGATTTGGATTAATGATGTGAAATATAATCAACACTTAGATCAGACTTAGCTAACCTGGAGTCCAATTCAGAAGCTACCCTGCAGTCAATTAAGTCATTAAAACTAGCTGCACCTTTACCAGCTTTATTAAACACATCAATACCTTGATAATTATAATCAAAACATATGGTAATATATGATTGAGAAATGAGCCAATCTGCATAATGAGTGCTTTTACTTTTGGTGCTTTAAGTATATTTAGATGTTAGTACTTTTGTACTTTTACTTGGGTAATATATTGATTGCAGGACTTTTGCTTGTAACAGAGTGGCCTCTTTTGTATTTTGTTAACCCACTCTTGGATATTATACATTAAAGTAAGAATAAAGGAATTGTGGAAATGGCTTTAAGTTCCATGACAAAGTCCCTGGATTCACAAAAGAGTATAAACTATCTTAATAACATTACACTCGGTTTTAGCCTTTAGTTTGTGATAACAAGCCAAACTGAGATGCTGTGGCTTTACTAAATGTTGGTTGAAATGTTGCATGTGTACATGACAAGTTGCAGGTCCCTATGAGTGCATGTTGTGTTTGTGGTTGTGGTTGTTTGCAGGAGGTGTCAGGCCTCAAGTGTGACCAGCTGCTGTCTTCGGGTCAGGCTCTGCCCCGGGAGTGTGTGAGCGGGCTGGTGGAGCTGGCTGGAAACCCAAACACCAGCCCCAACATGACGAGCTCCATCATCTCTCTGCTGGCACAACTAGGTACATACCAGACACATTTATCAACATCCACATGCGCGATGAGCTAAGTAAGTGTTTTTATGGTGGCATCAGAGAAACAGGAGCCAGGGTATTTATTTTGCCGATTTGCTGGCGTTTCACCCACTTTTGTAAAATCTTTCTGACACAGATGATAGGTGTCATATAGATGCAAATAGGATCTCACACGTTTCTCTGCTGCTGGTTTAAATCTCACATGTTTCTAATAAAATGTCACATATGTTGCCTTGTAAAAGCAATGACTCTTCACTTTAATTTGACGTCTATGATTCTTATAACGTTAGCAGTTCAGCGAGGAAAAGAAGAATACAATAGAATTTGAAGAGATTAAATACACATAATCAAAACATAAATACAAAAATTAAAAAGACAAGATGCAATGAAATACATACTGAAAAACAAAAAAGGAGAAAGCAGTTATAAGTGTGATTCATGAGGCAGAACTGAACATCCAGCCCTTTTCTAAACAAATCTTTGTCCTTCTTCCCACCTGCTGCTCCAGCCTGTGATGATGACAGTCGGGAGATTCTTCACAGTAGCTACAGCCTCACCAGCACCCTGGCATCTGTCATCCATTGCCACAGCGCCACACCTGGGGAGCCCCTGGTACTGCAGGTAAGAACATCACTGCATTTGGTCAAATGTTTCGCTCATGGGTCCACACCATGGTCCACACATAGCTGCTTTCTGTTCTGTGTACTTCATATTTTCAGTGGACACAATATATTGTTTTAATCAGTTGTTAAAAAAGTACCTATTGTTTATTTTATTAATATTCTTTGTAAAATATAAGAGGGGTCGGCAACCCGCGGCTCTCGAGCCCTCTACTCTGGCTCCCTTGAGCTTAGACAAAAATAAGAAGGAAATAAAATACAAATATTTGTAGGGCTATTTATATATTTTTTGCACGGTTGAAAATGTTTTGTATCTTGTATTTTGAGGTGATACTGTGACACATAAACATTTTTAAAAAACGGTTTTAATTAGGTCAACTAAAATATGTGTCATATCCTGCTACGGTCCCGCGCCAGTGCCTTTTCTTGCAGGCGAATAGCCTGACCCCCGGCTCGATGAGCGAACCATGGATAAATCAAAGAAAAGAAAATTATCGGAGGAACACAGGGTTTAATTATGCGTGGAGAGAGTTGCTTTCACAGCAAACGATGCTGGTTTACCGGTATGTTTGATATGTTAAGAGAAGTTGTAAAAGGTGCTGCAGCCTTTACGTATTGGAGGAAAAATGCGAAAGCGGAAGACTGCTAACGATCTTCAGTCATAATTCAATCAGTTAACTCTTTTTTGGGTGCAGCTATATGTTTTATTTATTTCATAGTGGGCCCATTTGAATTATATTCATTTTCTTCAAATGTGCAGAGAACTCCCCAAGTGCTGTGTTGATTTATTTTAAAGTAGGCCTTTGTATTTTTTGTAATTCTCCTTATAAGAGTTCTTTGTTTATTATTAGAGGTAAACAGTTTTCTATAATGTAATAAATAATAAATGCAAAAGAACTTTAGTTTTTGTCTATGATATAACAATAAATACAACTTTATAAGCTATCAAGCTATCACATATGTTTTGCGGCTCCAGCCAAAAAAAGTTGGTGGAAAAGGGGGCAAAATGGCTCTTTTGGTCAAAAAGGTTGCAGACCCCTGGGCTAGTGTAATGTCCGAAATCAAAGCAAAATATGTGAAAATATCCGAATGAAGTTTTTTTTTTTCCTAAAAGGATTATTTCCTCTATTAAAATCAATCAATCAATGTTTATTTATATAGCCCAATATCACAAATGTTACGTTTGTCTCAGTGGACTTTACAATTTGTAAAGAATATCAGTATGACAGTTTCTCAATTGCGATATTACTCCAAGTAATCGCAAAAAGTAATTTTTTCCATATCGAACAGCCCTAGAGTACAGCATGCCTTCAGTATACAGCGTATATTGTATTTCTACCTTGTTAATACTTCCTTATTCGTTATTTTTATATATTATTTATCAAAGTTAGGCAGATAGTGAGACACATATTTATATGAATTCTCTTTTTCTAAAATACGATAAATCGATTTACAGTTGGTCATGGTTGAGATACAATCTTTGAATAATTTTGAGTGTTATTCCTGGTAAATTCAGTAAACAATAATTGATTGTAATGTTGTCTTTTGTGTCCTTCAGTGTTTGCAGGTGCTGCAGAAACTGACTTACAACACTCGCATCTTCCAGTCGACAAACTACATTCACGAGCTCATCGCTTTTTTAATGACCAACATGTAAGAACCACCATCTCCAAGTATGATTCATTAAAGGATGTGTTTTTGACATTTCACTAACCGTTTGACTTTGGGTCCCTTAGCCATTCTCACAATGAGGACGTCATCATGACATGCCTCGGCCTTATGGCTAACCTCTGTCGCGATAACCACTCGGTGCAGAGCCACATCAAGTCTCTGGTGAGTGAAAGCACACAGGAAATAAACAGGATGTCTGGCTAAATAGATATATGAATTGCTTTGAATAGAGTTAGAGGGTTGCGGAGTGTATCTGTGTGTAGAGCGTAGAATAGAGGAACAGTCGCTTGATTAACTGATTAGTCAATTGACAACAATGAATTAGGAACAGTTTTAATTCATAATTGGTTAAAGGAAATAGTATTTTGCAGCATTTCATTCTCTTATTTCTTTGAGAATGTTCCTCAACTTATTTCACATACATTATCAAACATGTTTGCAAAAAAGACCTTTAAATGTTATTTAAATTCAGAGGATAAAAAAAAAAAAAAAAAAGAGTGAGTAATATTTCTAATAAGTGTTATATTTTTTGTCTATCATTTCTAACCGTTACTGTAACAAAACATGTACAGCCAGTAAGGTAGACTAGGAACTTTATGAATCACCACCATTTCTGCACCTTCTACTTTACTTTTCTCCAACATTTGTATACAAAATGAATATGTGCTCTCTGCCATTAGACAAGAAAGACAGAGTATTTGATGCGTGTTGTGTTTGAATGACATGCAATTGGATGGTTAGTTAGGAAAATATGGCCTGATGACGCATTGACACAACTATAAACAACCACAAAGCATCTAAAATGTAAAAAAAAAATTAAAAGGCATCACAGCTCCTGACAACCCTGACAAGTTTTTCATCAGATAACTGTCATCTGTTGAGCAGTAACTAAAGTGTTTCTTCCAAATCCACATAATACACTAAACCAACAATTTCAACATGGCAGACAAAAGTTTCACAAAACATAAAGGTCGTCAGTTTGTGGCTAGTTTTAGATATCTTGTAAATATGTGTTTGTGTGTATTCTTGCAGGACAACGTGAAGCCATTCTACCGCACTCTGATCAACTTCCTGGCTCACAACAGTCTGACGGTGGTCGTCTTCACGCTGTCCATCCTGGCCAGCCTCACTCTGAATGAGAAGGTTGGAGAGAAGGTAGGCGTGAAATACTCAATACTGAGAGCTCACATGTATGTTTTCAAATGTATCCTATCCTTTCACTCAGATTAAGCAACATCTTGATAAACAGAAATACTTCATTAGTCCTAGAATGAACGATGGTACAGCAAAGTGCAGATAAAAGGCAACATAAAATGAGTAGATATGAATTATACAACAACAACAACATAAACATAAATAAAGAGGTAAGTACACATGAATTACATAATAGTCCATTTAAGACAAAGCCAAGGTTAAAACATAGGCTGCAGCTTTATACAAGTAAGAGAACATTTCAAAGTATTGAAGTAGCAGCAAGTAATAACATTACTAAATTAAAACAAATGATACATTGCACATAAGTAGTGTTATTGTTTCTGAATTCTTATTTCATTGAGGAAATGACTGACTTTCACCTGTATCTACTTGTCCTTTGGTCTGTATCTTCTTGTCCTTTGTCCTGTATCTACTTGTCCTTTGGTCTGTATCTTCTTGTCCTTTGTCCTGTATCTACTTGTCCTTTCTCCTGTATCTACTTGTCCTTTGGTCCTGTATCTACTTGTCCTTTGGTCTGTATCTTCTTGTCCTTTCTCCTGTATCTACTTGTCCTTTCTCCTGTATCTACTTGTCCTTTCACCTGTATCTACTTGTCCTTTGGTCTGTATCTACTTGTCCTTTCTCCTGTATCTACTTGTCCTTTGGTCTGTATCTACTTGTCCTTTCACCTGTATCTACTTGTCCTTTCGTCCTGTATCTACTTGTCCTTTCTCCTGTATCTACTTGTCCTTTCACCTGTATCTACTTGTCCTTTCACCTGTATCTACTTGTCCTTTGGTCTGTATCTACTTGTCCTTTGGTCTGTATCTACTTGTCCTTTGGTCTGTATCTACTTGTCCTTTCACCTGTATCTACTTGTCCTTTCTCCTGTATCTACTTGTCCTTTCTCCTGTATCTACTTGTCCTTTCTCCTGTATCTACTTGTCCTTTCTCCTGTATCTACTTGTCCTTTCACCTGTATCTACTTGTCCTTTCTCCTGTATCTACTTGTCCTTTCTCCTGTATCTACTTGTCCTTTCTCCTGTATCTACTTGTCCTTTCTCCTGTATCTACTTGTCCTTTCTCCTGTATCTACTTGTCCTTTCTCCTGTATCTACTTGTCCTTTCACCTGTATCTACTTGTCCTTTCTCCTGTATCTACTTGTCCTTTCACCTGTATCTACTTGTCCTTTCTCCTGTATCTACTTGTCCTTTCACCTGTATCTTCTTGTCCTTTCTCCTGTATCTACTTGTCCTTTCTCCTGTATCTACTTGTCCTTTCTCCTGTATCTTCTTGTCCTTTGGCCTGTATCTACTTGTCCTTTCTCCTGTATCTACTTGTCCTTTCACCTGTATCTTCTTGTCCTTTCACCTGTATCTACTTGTCCTTTCACCTGTATCTACTTGTCCTTTCTCCTGTATCTATTTGTCTTTCATCCTTTTATTTTATATTTTTGTATAACTAATGCTGTTGATATATTGTGATTCTAAAGGTGTCTATTACCATCTGACCGGGGACAACAGC